GGAAAGAGTTACACAATCTCATAATATGGGGGACACGTTGAGTGTGTAGAATGCATGGTAGAACCCACTGACACTGGCATTGCAAGCTGTGAATATTGGCAACGTGTGTGTGTGTGATTCTGTGGGTGCATGCCTGTACGAAGTCGGCTGTAACTCCACCTGGCTTTGCACAGGGGTGCAATTTGTATGGGTGAGGAGTCCTCAGGCAGAAGCTCTAGAGAGCCTTTTTTAGTCTTGTGCCACTACATTGAAAAGGGTGGGATACTTTCGCCTTGGCCCTAGCACAGCTGCATAGTAACGCTAATTTCCTGCCCTTCCTTGCAAATTTGCGTGGTTTTCTCTTTGTGATTCTCTAATTTGATCCTGCACACTGGTCATGATCCTGGCAGTTTTTTTAAAAGCCTGTCCTGTGCAAATTGCACTCTTCCTCCAAATGGATCGATCCCAATCTATTCTTAAATTTGGTGGTTCACAGAAGGTCCATGTGGCTCAGCCACCATTTTAATGTTAGGCTTCCAGAAACTGCCAAACTTTGTTCACTAAAGCATGAAAGGGGGGGAGGGGTTCAAAGCTTTAGGTTTCCCATCCCAGTGTCTCACTCTCTTTACATCTCATGTCAATTTCATTCTACACTGATGATTCCCCCCCCCCTTTATTTTGTTTGCATGCAGCACTGAAATCCTGCTTTTTTGCACTGGGGATGCTGCCATTTCCTTTCTCTCTGATCCCCCTTTCAAGTAAATACCAGCAGAGAACTAAGCCTTGTACAGCTCCTTTTAAACTTACCCCCGTTATTTTAATTTTGTTTTTAATTCCACAATCTGAGACTAGTGATTGTCTTGTATTTATTTATTTATTTGATTTATGCCCCACCCTCCCTGCCGAAGCAGGCTCAGGGCGGCTTAAATAAAAGTTTTAAAGCAGATAAAACAGAAAAAATATATAAATATGAATATAAAACCCATCCTAAAGTGCTAGTAGGCAGTTTGTGTAACAGTGGTGGCGAGGCATTAGTAGTAATCAGTTACAATAAAGAGTGCAGTCAGCGTTTGATGCTAGGACTGACATCTCAGTCCAGTCCATGTCGGCGGAGCACAGGCTGTCGATGATGGTGTTAGGGTGCAGGGTCTTAAGTTTATTATGTGCAGCTCCTTAGTCAAAGGCCTGGTGGAGGACCCCCATCTTGCAATCCCTGTGGAACTGTAAAAGGTCCTGCAGGGCCCTTTTGTCTTCCGGGAGCCATTTCCACCAGAATGGAGCTGCCACTGAGAACGCCTGGCCGTGGTCAAAGCCAGCCTGGCATCTTTGGGACCCAGGAGGCCAGATGGTTTTGAGACCCTGAACGCAGTGCTCTCTGGGGGACATGTGGGGTTCCTCAGCTATGTAGGCTCCTGACCATAAAGGGCTTTAAAGGTAAGAACCAGCAGCCACTGCAGTGCTTTTAGCACAGGCTGGATGTGCTCCTGCATGGGGAGGACAAACAACAGCCTGGCGGCAGCATTTTGCACCAGTTGAAACTTCTGGATTTGGGACAAGGGCAGCCCCATGTAGAGAGCATTACAGTAGTCTAATCTCAAGGTGACCATCGCAAGGATCACTGTCACCAACTCATTGTGTTTGCGGAAGGGAACCAATTGCCTGATCAGCCGAAGGTGATAAAAGGCTGACTTAGCAGTGGCTACTAGGGCCTCCATCGTTAGGTAGGCATCCAAGAGCACTCCCAGACTCCTAACCTCCAGTGCTGGCACCAGAGGTGCACCGTTGAAGGTCAGGAGTGGGATCCCTAACTCCGGACTGCCTCAACTCAGGCACAGGACCTGTCTTCATCGGATTCAATTTCAGTCAGCTCAGTCTAAGCCAACCAGCCACAGCTTGCAACACCATGTTCAGATCTTCCGGTCTAGAGTCAGATTGGCTGCCCAACAACAGATAGAGCTGGGTGTCATCCACATACTGGTGACATCCCAGCCCATGCCTCTGGGCATTCTGGGCAAAGGGGCGCATATAAATGTTAAACAACATTGGGGAAAATACAGCTCCTTGGGGCACTCTGCAAACCAATGGGTGCCTTCGGGACAGCTGTTCCCCTAATGCCACCCTTTCCCCCCAACCCTGGAGGAATGAGGAGAGCCACTACAAGGCAGACCACTGAATCCCAGAGTTGGCGAGGTGGTGGATCAGTAGCTGATAAGAACATAACATAAGAACATAACATAAGAACATAAGAGACGCCAGTGTTGGATCAGGCCAAAGGCCCATCCAGCCCAACACTCTGTATCACACAGTGGCCAGAAATACCAGGTGCCATCAGGAGGTCCACCAGTGGGGCCAGGACATTAGAAGCCCTCCCACTGTTGACCCCCCCCCCCAAGCACCAAGAAGACAGAGCATCACTTGCCCCAGAGCCCCTATCTATACCTTGTGGCTAATACCTCCATATGCTTATCTAATTCCCTTTTGAAGCCGTCCATGCTTGTAGCCACCACCACTTCCTGTGGCAGTGAATTCCATGTGTTAATGGAATTTTGGGTGAAGAAGTACTTCCTTTTATCTTCACCTTTGGGTGAAGAAGTACTTCCTTTTATCCGTTCTAACCTGACCACTCAGTAGTTTCATGGAGCGCCCACGAGTTTTTGTATTGTGAGAAAGGTCGACTGTGCTGAACGCTGCCGACAGGTCTAACAGCAACAGCAAAAGCAGCCTTTGGGGAGGGCGGGATATAAATACAAAAAATAAATAATAAAATAAAAAATAAACAACAACAGCCGAACAGCCCTGATCCAGATGCCTCCGAAGGCCATCCATGAAGGCAACCAGTTGCTAGACTCATGCTGCTTGTAAAAAAAAAAAAAATTAAAAACGAGGGGGAGATGAGGCTTGTACACCAATGAAGGGGGAGGATGGCAGAAAGTGCAGTGTGGACGAAGCGACCTCAGTGTGGATGAGGAGTGACCTTTGAGGGATGGCAAAATGGTGGGGGGGAATTCAAGGGAATCTGTACACTTTTGAATTACCTTCAGCTTGGAAGTGAAACAAGGGGGAAATCGGCACAAAAACACTCTCAGAAAACCCGGGGAAACAGCAACCAGAAAGCAAACCGAGTGCTGAAGCGAAGAAAATCAATGCAGGAGGACAAAGAAAACCTGACGGGCATGCACGGCGAAAGTGAGGGAGAACACCCGTGCATAATAGGCCTGAGTTCCCCTTCTTTAGTGGCTAAAGTACACGAAGAAATCTGTTGCAGAGAAGGTTTAACTAGCAATGCCCTCACCCCCTGACATCCAGCATGCAAGGAAATACGTCCTATGATTTTTATTGTAAACCTTCCTTTTAAAATCTGGATCTCTTTTATTGTAAATTGATAACATTTGGGCAGTGGCTAAAAATACAACACAGTTAACAATGCCGCTCCCCACCTAC